CAAAACCTCCACTGGCACTTTGAAGACATACCTCTTGCACTCTCCTATAGCTCTCTGGAGCATATCCAGCCTATCCTCTATTCAGAGTCACTACTTAACACCAGTTTCCAGCTAGTGTACAAAGCTGTCACTTTGTAGTCTAACCCTTCCTTTGATCCTAGAAACACCAAGTTTCACTAGCTGGATAACCTCCAAGAGGGTTACCACCACTTGCACCAGGAGATTTCTCAATTTCCTGTACTTTGAGTTTCTAGTTGGATTACAGGAATACCATCCTACAAATTCTATTTCTTGAATAGCTCTATCACCCTTACAGTCTGCTCCTTCTGGTGGTGTACTTAGCCTGCCCAAATTCCAAAAGCATGGATCTAACTGCCAACAAAACTCTTCCACAGCTTTCATTACGACCACGGCACTGATCCCCAATAATTTCACCTTCCAACTTTACCGAAGTTATATCACTGCACTTCTACTCACTTTGATTCCACCTTCCCACTGAAGCCTCTGTGAACATAAAGATGAGCTTTCAAACTCTTTGATGCTCAGTCTATTTTATCAGTATTTCAGGTAAGCAATATTCCGAATTGAGACAGCAGTAGGATATTGGACAGCTAGAAGGACTCCTACTTGAGAGCATGTAATAACTACAGAAGAAAGATCCCCAGATCTCAGGGAATTTCTTTCAAATATAATAAGTGTCTTGTTAGGCTGGACATTTCATAGGAATTAAAAATTTTCAACAGGAGATGCTCCCACCCCCACACTTAGAAGGACAAAAAAAAGTCCCAACAAGGCCTTTTTAAGAGCTCTAGGAAAGAAAGCCCAACCAGGAATAATTAGAAATATCATTGCAACATGACAGAAAAATCCAGTAACTAAATTCGTATTCTCAAAAGTGAGAGAACCTGCTCTTTAAAGCAAATCAAAGTTATGGAGCAACAAGATAAACGACAACACACTTACTTTTTGTGCAATGGCAGAGAATTTTAGCACATTGAGTGTTTCATCATATGCTGAAGCACATTGGCTTATGTTTACTATCATGTATACCTTTCCCTTTCCACTGAAGAATCCTTGAAGGAAATGAGTTAACTTACTTTCCCGAAAGGGTATGTGCTGCTGTAACCTTTAAAGACAAAAGAAAGGACGATCAGAAGTTTAATAAATTCCAGGCAGTGCAAGAGCTATCCAGCCTGAAGACTTGAAAATACCTATAAAAGCAGCAGTCTTTAAATCAGTTAAAACTGTTTTGAACTAGATACAGCTGTTTGTGAAGAGATTGCGTGACTGTGATGACTGCTGCTTGACCTTTTTTCTGATCTGCTACAGCAATGCAATCAGTGGGAGCACTTACACCAAGTGTTCAACATTTAGCCTACAGTAGGTCACACAAGCCTCATGCTACATCAAACTATACCCTATCTCTCGCTTTTCTTTTCCACATCCACAAAAAGTACTTATGTAATTTTAGACATGCAGTATCCAACATTATCAGAGATCTTTCACCCCTTATCATACCTCTGAGAACAGACAATAGAAGTGTCTATCTAGGTAAGACTAGTATGCACCAAACATATGGAGATACTTTTCAGAACTGTACTCCTAATCCCCCAGAAGTTTGGCATGTCCTGCATCAGAAGTTGTGCCCTTGAAATTAACAGCTGGTGATATTTAATACTTACAGAAAGTTTTATAGGAATTCCTAAAACATGACTTTGCCACCAAATGCATTTTGGATGCATGACAGCTATTCAGTAACGTGAACAGTGCTACAGAACTCAGCAAGATGGTGACACTCCTGCCAGAATACATATATGGCCCAGAAACAGCTTTGCCACGTGATGGAAACAAGAACCATTACAAGAAAGTTACTGCTTCTTATTCTGCTTGCACAGGACCTGTATTAATACTTAATGATCGTGCTTCAGAACATTCCGTCCATATTGTTAAAATTCTACGTTATTAGGATCAGAAAGCTGTATGACAAATACACTAATGACCCCCTACACAGCTGCTAGTTTTAATGCATCCTTCCTATCTGGAAAGGTTAGGAAGTTAAAAACCCCATAAACTCACAAAATGTGAAGGGTTAATCAGGAACACACACAAGCAAAGCTTTTCCATCTTAAGGTGTGACACACTTCAAATGCTGCCAAGAATAGCGTTATGGACTAAGTGAATTTGGCAAAGCACATACAGGCATATCAAAGACAGCAAATAACTTATTTAACTTCTAGGACAGAAAAAGATCTTCAAATGAAAACCTATACAGGAAACAGTTCCTAGACAGTTACTAGTTTTTAGACAATTAACTTTTTGTATTTTGTATTACTTTTATTTAGATCCTCAAGCTGGGGCATAAACAGTGGGAAGGCTTTCTTTTGTCTACATTATGCTTAGCTAGATGAGTAGAGCGTTAAAATTATGTCACAGTTCAGAAACAACAGACAAATTTTGTCAAAGAGTACACAGTCATGATAGCACAGCAATGTCGTGCTGACAAGAAATGTCACAATGGAAGTCTGTAGAAGACACAGGTAGTTCCCAAAGAAGTAATGAAATTATGAAAACTGACTCTATGACATTATTGACAATGGTGTTTTAAACTTATTCTAATGCTTGATATGTCAAGCTCAAAAGAAGAAAGTTAAATTACTAAAATCTGTGATAGCATGTTTAAAGGATTATGTCAATTTGAATGATTTAATTAAAAAGAAAAACAAGGCAAGTTTAAAGATAACTTTGGTATACCAACAAAACTATAGTATAAATTTCCCAAGTTTTTTCTACCAGAAATTTAAGTGTTAATATTGTATATTTTAAACAATAGCTTTTAAATGTGGGCAATACTGAAAAAACACAACCAGTTTGCAATTCATAAAAGGACTTACTTTGACTGTTGACAGTTCTTGAGTGCATTAATACACTTGCCTAGAGTCAGGAGAGAGGTATTTATATTTCCACTCTCTTTCAATCTGTCACCTTCATTTCGGGTCTTGGTATATCTTTCTGAACCAGCAAGATCACAAAATGACAATCTGAAAGCAAAACAGGAAAATTCACTTTTTTTACCTTACAAGATGAACAAATGATTCACTTTTCAAAACGATCACTTTTCTTCATTCTTCTCAAAGTTGCTTCCCCAATCCAATTTCCCCCTATTTATGTCAAACATATTTTCAGCATGCTTCCTATTCCACCCACTCCCACCTCCTCAAACTGTTCCTTCTGGGGACTCACATGAGTTCAGGAGTATAGCAGGCTGGCAGAACCCTGTGATGAACAGAGGGGCCAAAATGGAGAACAGAACTGCAACCCGACAGGCTGAGGGGCCAAATACCATAGGAGCATAGGGAGTGGGAAAGCCACCATAGACGCAGGAAGCCCCCACAGGGAGCAGTGGGTATATAGTGCAGTACCAGTACATCAACACAAAAAATAACCAACAACTTCACCACAACAGAGACACTGTTCTGAACTTACTCATTGACTCGGGTCACTCGTGGTGTTCCTAAATCTTCAATTTTTAGTACCTTAACTGTGAATATGCTGTGACTAAAAGGAGAAATTGAAATCATAAGAGAAATTATGAAGTAGACCAATAATTTCAAAATATTTTTAGCCTCCACATTTGTTCAAAATGCTGTTGAAACTGTCAATGTATGTAAGCATATACTATCAGATACAAACTTTTATGTTTGTATGTTTATGTAGCACTTGTTTTGCTTTTTCCTCAGGCATTTAGAAGGAATAAAGATAAGTGCTTTTGTACAGAGTATTTGATAAAATGCTGTTTGCTTTAGGCCAAAAGGATTCAATCCTTCAGTAAGATGAGCAGCTACTTAAGCTATGTGTCACATACTGCTCAAGGACACCAAGACTGAAACCTAGAAATCTAGACCACTTTAAAGCCTCTTCCCTTCCTGAGGGCAATAAGCTATATTTTAGTTTCTCCTTCCTCCCACACACCACTCTATGCCCAGTGTTATTCAAAATGTTTCTTACCTTCTGCTGGAACAATGATTTAGTTTTGTGCTTGCAATACTCTGGTGTTTCAACCCCAGTTTTAGAAGTCTAAAAGCTTCTTTAGAGTCAGAAATCTGAACCCACTGCAGACCTTTAAGAAAAACAAATATGACAGTTTTGAAAATAACATTACCAAAATAAGTATTAAGAGGATAACATATGCACAGCAAGGATACTACTTCTACTTGAGGCTTTTACTATATCTGCTTCAGACACAAGTTGTACGATGACAAATAAAATCACAATGCCTCCTCTCACAGGAAAGAAAGGACAAGTATAACATATTATTTCATTCCGTTAGGACACTAAATATCTTTCATTCAAATTAAGTGAGCAACCTTAGCCTGAGCACTGAAAAGCCAAAAAGGTAAGGTCTAATATGAATAGAATGCCCTATATTCATATTCAGCAAAGCAGAATTCTATCTGCACAGCTTCTCTATTTCACACTACAATCATCTGGACATCTTTCAGGGTCACCAACTTAACTGAAAAAGCATCAAGCCACACAAACACCTAAAAAAAGCCCTTACTCTAGAATTGGTGCCTTGATTGTTCAAAGAATCTGTAACAAATTAAATAGGTTTAAAACTCTTTTTCCCCATGACCTCAAACAAATGTTGAACTGTTATTTATTATCCCCACACTCCTGCAATCCAAAACAGAATTACAGGTTTGATTAGAGATTAAAATGCAATTTCAAGTCAGACTGAACTTTCTCAAATATTCTCTGAAGTCTGCTTCTCTACAGAAAATACCAAAAGCAAACAAAAATCCCCCAAACTGTTTAGACAATTATAAATACAGTTAAGAACTACTGGAGTATTTAGGAAAATGGAAAAGAGAAAACCACTAACAAATTTGTCAGTTGTTTCCAGTATTTATCCTACTTCAAAGAAATAGAGGCAGTGGAGTGCACGGAGGCTTTCAACAGTTACTGTCACTCGAGGGAGGCATTTCCGGTGCCACAGTGAATGCAGTGAGGAGTTTTCCAATCCAGAAAGAAGCATTATTTCAGGTAGACCAACTTTTCATCTAACATTTGGCAATTTGCAATGTATTCTATTCACCTTTTACAAAAGAACAGCCCTTGATGTCTTGAGCAAGGCGTAGTGTTTTCCTTTTCTTGTCATTTGATATAGGAATCAGTAGATCATAAAAACATTCATTGTAAATCTCGAAAAATGAAACCCAAACAGAAAACTTGATGTAATTTCTCGCAGTTGTGGCAGACTGTTCTGAGTCTTCTGAGTTATCTTCCAAATCTGCCAAATACAAAATATTACCAGTCAATATAGACCTAGCAAAGTGAGTTTCATTAAAAAAATTTATAACAGAAAAAAAATTTATAAGTTAAGTTTATTAATTAAAAAAAAAAAATTGAAAGTTGATATTACAGCAGACTTCTTAAGAACCCTTAACTCACAAAAATGCATTCAAGTTCCCACCCCCTTTCTTAAATGTTTGAAAGTCACATGCTTTAACTACACATTTGCAAGAGACACTTACTGTACTATCAAGCACGTACAGCTTAGTAAGAGTTATCCAGGTCTCTTAAGGCAGAGTTCAACTGACAAGCATACTTCATTTTGACTTTTTAAAGCAAACCTAGTATTTTGGTAGTTTTTAAAATGCTAGAATTAGATTTATAGATTTATATAGTGGTATCCTAAAAGCCTGTAAGGATACTACTAGAGCCCATAGCTTAAGTAATACTACTTTTCCTTGCTATAGTTACAGCTCATATAATGCCTGTCAGGTGTCCTAACCATTTTATCCTTAGGTTTTCTGCCCAGACAACTTGCTCATTATCCAATTCACAGCCACTTGAAAATTGACAAGTAGTCATTTTATTATTAACATAGGCCAGAAGTCAGTTATTGATGCTAATAAAGCTTCTTTGACATCTTTAATTGCAATTTTTTAATACAAAACATACCCTTAGAATCAACAGGTGCACTGCTGTCTGTGCTAATCTGATGGTCTACCTACAAAAGAAAACAGAAACTTTAAAATATATTGTTGTCAGTACAATACACCACAAGTTACTAAATAGGAAGAGAGCATGGGTGCAACATGCCCATAGAAAGATCCTGGTTACAAATCATCTCTAGTTCAATGTACCCATATACAGCTGTTGAAAGGGCTGTTCTTACCCTTCCCTGATACTTCCCTTACCTCAGTATACGGCATTTCAGCTTGTTGAATCAGCAGCAGTTTAGCTGCTGATGGAGAAAATGGAGGAGTGGGAGCCCCCACAGAAACAGTGATTTAACAGGATGATTTGCAGGAGTCCAGTTGCAGTTTACACATTAGTCTTACACTGGTAAATCTAATGAGTCCTGAGGTTTTTTATTATTGGTGTTTTGCTAATACACAATTTCATATCTTACACCTTACTAGGCCAACCCTAAGAAACAGCAGTAAAGGTAGAACACTCATTCACTTAAAAAAATTAAATGAGCAAATTATTGCTTCCTGATACATGCTTGAAATGAATGATACAGTTGAAATAAACTCAAGGTTTTAGAAAAAAGCTTCTTGCTGAGCTACTTTAAAAAAAAAAAAAAAAAAAGAAACCAACCAAAACCATATAGCTAGAGCTTATAATCTTCATACACTTGCACTCCCTTCCCAGTCTTAATCTTGGTTAGTTAGCTTTTTTTCTAGGCACAGACTTGCCAGTGACAATGCCTAAAGAAATTAATTTCATCTACCAAAACAAGTATGCTTAAGAGAACTACCAAGAAGTAAAAAACAGGTGTGGTTTGGGTCAGAGTTTTTTAGCATTCTGTCAAGAGTATTTTTCATATAAAGCTGGGATTCTGTAAGTGCTCCTGAAATAATGGAATACTTATGTAATCAAAACTTTTAGATTTAAGCTTTATACATATAAATCACCCACCCAAACCTGTCTCTGTTAAAGCAGACGCAAACTTTGCCAGCAAATTTATAAGCTTAAGTATTCTTCTTATAACCACAGTTTTACAAAGTAGAGGGTATATATATGTGCACTCAAACACACACGACAGCTTTTTCTGAAGACTGTCAGAGCTAGATTTAACATATTCCTGTACTTCTGAAGTCAAGTCAAAGAATTTTGCTGCCATCTACCTTCCACCCTGGATGGATAAAAACCAAGGTAACAGATATATTGCTTCCAACAACAGCCCTTATAACCTAGCATACCACAAGGGAGATGCTTAATTCTTTTCATTAAAAACAAAAAAAAAAAGCAAAATAGTGCCTTTCTAGTTCCAAATCTTGGCATATGCTAAGTTTTATTTTACATTATTCCCTTCATTTCAGAATGAAAAGAAACCAAGAAAAGGGTATGCTTATACAAAATACAAATCCCTCATAACTGCAATTGGACTAAACAGCTTTAGAATTCCAGGCAGCTCCTAAAACTGGAGTGTAATTCTGGACTGATCAACAGTGAATATAAGAATAAAGTCCAGCAGAAATCCATTTTTTACTCAAATCTCTAAGTCCACTAGTGTTATAGCTGTGCTGTTTCAAATAAAGTTTTGCTTCTTTTGAAGATATTTGTCAAACTGAAAGAGGAAAACAACCTCAGAATTGTCAAATTTCTTCAACTACCCTGAAAAACAGTAAGTTACTTAAAGGATCAGACCTACTAGTATCCCCACAGATAGAAAGGAGACTATTTGTATTCAAATCTTGTTAAGCACCAATAAGCCCAGAGAATAAATTATCAGGTGCCCAAGCTACAGGAAAAAAAACAAAACCAACAAAATCGCTTAGCGTTTACATGTCCATCGAGTATTCAGCCATGAGACAGAAATCCACAGAACAGGGTTCATCATCTATTGCTCACTTTACTGCTCATCTGAATAGCTGGCTGACACCAAACACACACATCCACACATAAGTACAGCTAGTCTCTTCCCACTGAAAAATGGAGAACATAGAGCTATCTAAAGATACATTTACTCATCAGTGTACAAAAGGCTCCTCTACCTCTTTTATTAGGCGAAGTAGTGAATTTTTAATTGCAGTTTCTTCTCTCACTTCATTTTCAGTCAGCTTTATATAATCTCTACACCGATGGGGTTTGAGATCCATTGCTGTGTAAAGCTTTCCTTGAATACTTTTAAACAACAGATCCAAGGCCCTTGGCAGAATACCAACATCATCTTCTGTCCCTGAAAGAAAAAACAAAAGAAAAATCCTAATTACTAGTGTGAATAAGGTATACAGATAAACAAAGACAGAAAAATAAGAAATCTTAAAGCATATAGGAGAAATTTGGAGGCAACTTACAGCATAAATCAGTGGGGGTTTTTTTTGTATTCTCAAGGTAATAAAAATGCCATTAGAGTGTTTTTAAAGGTATTCAACTTTCAGCAACAGTTCATGCTCTACACCAATGATGGGCATAGCATAAAATAAAAACTGCTAGAGTATTCTGTGTAAGCTTAGCCTTGAGGGAAAATAAACAAACAAAACCCCACAACCAACTAACATTTAATCAAGATTTACAGTTTTTCAACTGTATTTCATAGGCTGCCTTCACTCTCTCTCAAGGAAGCAGCCCTGAAACAAAACTCATTACTGATCTTTTAGCTGCAGTCCTGTATTAATTCCACAGACCCTACAAAAATCTTCTAGAAACCTTGTGAAGACTCACTCCTTTCCCTGTCCCAGATCCTTTACTCAGAACATACTACTTTTGCACCTGAATGACAAAAAAGAGTCAAATAAAAGTCGCAGTTTACAGTTCATCTTTCTGAATCCAAGTTTAAAAAGGGTTCACTCAAGTTCTAAACCAGAGAAAAGAAGAAGGCAGAATTTATCAGGCTGACAAATTTCTCCCGTTCTTCAGACATTTAAAAGTTACAGCACTAGCCTGGTTGCCTAAGTCAGAACTTATATAAAGTGTGGTTGGCCCTCAAATCACAAGCTATTAACCAAATAGCCTATTAAGCTTAAGTACTGTTTCACTGTATGTATTTTTCCTCATCTCATCTCCTCTCAAAATTTTTTTTTATTTATAGCAATGCCAGTTGTAATTCAACCTAACACAAAGTAACAGTCACTGGTGAACAATCCTAAAAGACTGCTTAATCCTTCACTTAAATCTTTTGCCATTGCCTGAATAGAAGTTCCCATATAATGCAAGAGTGGAATAACAGAAGAGGAAATCACAGCACCCAGTACACAACATTCTGCCCTGCCAATTTTTATCCAAGGCCTAAAAATATAATACCACAAATAAGCTTCTAGTCAAAAAGATGTCAACCAAAAATTCTTGAAAAACCACACAATACACCCCCCAAACTAGTCAAGCATGGAGGAACTGTATGCTTTAGGAATTTTTGTTTTCTGTTATTTATCTATTATTTATTAATACAGAAAAGAGCATCCCATTATTGCCCCAGATAAATGGTAACTGAAAGTACTGGTAGTAACCTTCAATTATGGTCCACCTAACTGAAGATTGCTTAGAAAATAATGTCACTTCAATAAAGATCAGTTTCAGAAGGCACAAAACTTATTGTCCTTCTACTATTTTTTTGTGTAAATTAAGTGGTATAGCATCCAGAACAACATTTCATGATAGGAAAAATGGTTTCCACATGAATCAAATCATCTTATTTGTTACAATGCTTTGAAAAATAACTCAAGAATGACATCTTCTGACCAGAAAGGATATGGAGCTTTAACAGAATAGAAGCATCAGGAGACAAGGTCTCCTAGGATACTGTTAAGCTCAGGAACTCATGATAAGACAAACACACAAAAGTAATCAAACCTGTTTCAAAACATTTATTCTTTTCCTCTAATAACTGAAACAGACTCAAATATAATTTCTTATTTGTGCATATAAGATGCATATAACCATAATAATAAGAAAATTTGAGAAAACACTAGTCTGGTGTAAAGCAACTTACATACTTTTCATATCTTATTATAGAGAACATTGTTTTCTCAACTCCCCCTCACTCCTGATCTTCTAGATACTTGAAGGAAAAAAGAAAAGTCTCACAGATCTGGTTGAAATTACTATAGCCTTACAAAGCAATATGACTAGTGTTTATGTAAACTCTGGCAGGGATTGTCTGTTGGCATTTATATTTGTTATGGAAAGGGACTTTCAAAGACTATTTATTGATACTCAAAAGAAGCCAATGTACAGGACTTACAGTTTAAATGAAGGGAAAAGTTATAATATTTCTGCTAGAAGTAATCCTCACTTAAAAAAAAAAAATAAAAGAAGTGTATTCAAGAACTTGTTTTTACTTTATACCTTGGAAAGTGTAAGTTTTCCCAGCATTTGTAACGCCATATGTAAAAACAAGACGATTATATCCATCTAAGAAATCTTGCACTGGTTCCTTCATGGTACCTTCAAAGAATTCTTCTTGAGTTGTTTCAGGTCCAAACACCTGAGTATTACCAAGAAATATTTATACTTTCTTTAAGCAATCATTAGAGACTTTTAAAGGCTTTTTTAAATTCTTTTTGTTCACAATCTTAAAGACTACAAAGTTAAATAAAAAATATAGTTGGTTTGGTATTGAATAATATAAGTTAAACAAAATGCTCCAGGAATAAATTAAAAACTTCTAAAGACAACTCATTTACTCGTGAAAAAGTGAATTTCTGTATCATCTGTCCAGCAGTTTTTTCACTTAGTCGATTCAAATAGTGGTGAGGGGGTTTCAGTATGATGTTTGTTGAGTCTTCAAGTGAAACACAGTCCTATTAAAAGGAAACACAAGCAATGCAGGCATGAAGAAAATATAAAGAGCCGATTTACAGAAAAAAAAAAAAAACCACACAAAAAATCTCACACAAAACAAATTTAAGGTATTAAGGTATTTTTAAAGGTATTTAAGGTATTTTTAAACTAAGTAACATCCCACCTGTGTTCCATTTTCTCTTTCCAGTGGTGTAAATGGCCTAATACGCAGGCTAACTTGTATGTGTCCCTTGGAGTCCAAAGTGCTCCCCTTAAAAAAAAAATTAAGAAAGTCAGACTTTTTTTTTCTTTATTTGAAAACTAGTATGTTAAGGCAGCTCTATTTAATCAGGCTGTTTTGAACAGACTAATTTGATAACATGGGAATCAAATTAATTCACTACATCGTTTTTTACAAGTGCTTAGGCCCCTGCAGAAGTTGGCTGTGATGAGTTAATCTTGTAGCACATACATATACACACTGCATTCAGTCCAACTAGAGATAAAGAATGACACCCACAAAATATTCTATGAAATAAAATTAGCCTCATTCACAGAAAACTGATGTTCCCAATAGTGCATCAATGCAGTGCCACACAACTTTGCCTAATTCTATGCATCTCTTCCAAATTTAAACATACAAGAGATGCTTTCCATCTTCTCTGTAAAATTCAGACTATTCTTATTGATGAAAGGACTACGCTTATTTTGTAAAAAATAAATTTTGAAGCAATCTAATCATTTAAGCTTTCTTACCTGACTTGTGTCTGAGCTTGAAGAAACCAAAGAAAATTCAGAGGAGAGATCTGTTTTAAGATCTTCCACACTCACTGGTCCTGATCTTGGAGGTAGCTCAATGCTAGAAATATAGGATGGTCTATAAAGTTTGTCATTATCCAAACTTGGATCCATTCTGCAAAATAAAATAAAACTATTTTATGCTCCCTAATCATATAGCTTCTGAAGCCCCTTAGAAGATAGTTCTTTAAGGAGAAAGCTTTCCTCATCCTATTCATAATTTACATGGCAAGTTTCTGGTAGCTGGGGAGTGAGTCTGCAGAGGGCTTTGCATCATGATGAATCAGGAAGAGCCATTCTCGTTTAAACAGACAGCACCTGTTTACCAGGGAAAAACCTTACACATATGCCACAAACTTGTTTAAAAACCATGTCCGACAAGAAAGATATAATCTGAAAACTAATCCTGTTGTTCCACATCAACTTCATCATCCCACTGTAGTGTCCATTTAGAATGTCATGGTTATCTCTGCAGGATCTTATAAATATTCGGTGCTATAAAGATAACACAATGTAACATAATACAGAGTTCAGAAACATTCCAAAGACTAATAAGACAGTTACAGCTATTAAAGGGGCACTAGAAAACCAGAAAACCCCATGCCAGAGTACAAATTAAAGTACTGCTTTCTAGCAATTTTACAGATTAGCAGATAAGTTTATTAATCCAGAATTTAATTATTTTTGGGCATGTCTGAATCTAAGCAGTGAAAATTTGCTATAGAAAATAAGTTAATTGATTTAGTGTTGATAGTAGCCAGGTAAATTTCAACATAACTTTTAAAAAGTGCATTTTATTTTAAAATATTAGTATATTTTTTCTGCACTCTACTCTCCTATTCCTTTTTCTTGTGATATTACAGGTGTGACATGGCAGGCTTTGTTATAGATTCAGTTTAAAATAACTCACTGGGCAATTACTAATAGACTATGGCAGCAAGGAATCCAGCAAATAGACACCTACGATATGACCTCCTACATTTCGAAGCTTTGCGCACAATAATTCAATGGTCTCCTAGTACTACATTCCCATACCTAGGTTACAGCAGAGCATGTAAATTGTTTCTCTAAGTACTAATGGAGAACATGCAGTGTTCATTAAAACAATGGATAGAGCAGGGCTGGTTCAAAATCCCTTTGTTCAAAAACAATATTTGTTGCCTACTTGTTAAGCAATCCTATCTTCATTTCCCCCAACAAAAAAACCTGAGAGATCTCTGCACTTCAGCGTCAAAATACTTAACAGCTAAATCTTTCTATCTAGGCTGCAAAAGGCAGACAGAGACCTCTAAGCAGCTAGACAAGTGTCACCCAGCTTCAAATGAGGTAAAAATGTACATAAACTAAGCATTAATGTTTACTTTGTTTCTTCTAACCTACATTTTTAATTTTTGTCAGGCAACTGTACGAAAACCAGGAAAAACGCGGCCCAAAATATCATCATGGCTTGAACAAAGACTGACCTGTGAATAAGCTACAGCTGGAAAGAAACGTACCTGTGCTATCACGATTTGAAGTCTTATTCATCAGCTACACAAAGCCACACTGCAAAACTCTTATCAACTCTTTACCAAAAATATATTTGTCAGATAACTGACATTTTAATTGCTTTAAATATAAGCTTTAAGTGTGATTTGTCAAGATTATGCTCTCATTCTGTATCTTATTACGTAAGAGGCAAAAAGCAAACACTAAGCTGTGTATACAAAGCTGGAACTAGAAGTGTTTACATAGCCCAGCACCCAGCGCAGCGAGGTTCAGACCCCGCCAGAATGCAAAGCCCAAGGTGCAGGCTATCTATCTGCCTCCACGTGGTGTCACACAGCACTGCAATTGATTCATATATTCTGGTATAAACAACTATATAGCCTGGTTGCAGCCACTAAGAAGTACGTGTATACTGTGTTATTCTACCTCTACTAACCGCGGCAATAGAGCTGCAGACACCCTTAAAGAAGGGGATCCCCAATGGCACACACAGCAAAGCGTGGTCACAGCACTCACACGCTGCCTGCAGCACTGCCGGGCGGCACAAGGCAAGACAGAAAGAGCTCCAAACCACACCGGAGCCTACATAAAACCTAAAGCATCAGCCCTTACACTTAAAAGAAAAAACACTAAAAGGACACTCTCCGCAGACACAACCTCTCACTTCCAGGCTTCGCCCGTTCCTACGGGACACAACCGCCAGGGCTCTGTCCCGGCACGGCCCGGCCCGGCCCGGCTGGGGCGTTACCCACGCCCTGCACGGACACCGAAAACTGCCCGGGCACTGAAAACTGCCTGCACCCCGCCTTCCTCCTGCCAGCTAAAGCCCCGCGCCCCGCAGGGGCTGCCCCGCCAGCCCACTCCCGCTGCCATTCCCACTCCCGCTGCCATTCCCATTCCCGCTGCCATTCCCATTCCCATTCCCGCTGCCATTCCCATTCCCATTCCCGCTGCCATTCCCATTCCCGCTGCCGCTCACCCGCCTCGCCTCTCCCCCGCTCTCTCCTCCGGCCGCGGCTTCTTTTCGAATCCGACCAATGGCAGCGCTCAGGGCCGCGCAGCCTCCTGGGAGTGCGGCGGCGCAAGGCCCGACGGGAGGTGTAGTCGCGGAGGGGCGGGGCTGCCGTGCCCTGATGCGCCCTCCGGCAGGGTCGGTGCGCTCCGAGAGGGCTGGAGGGTTTTCGGTACTGCTGGGGCTCGGGGCTGTCAGGGCTCGGGTCCGGCCCCGACCCGGCGGCGGCGACAGCAGCAGCAGCAGGATCATCCTGGCTGCCGCAGGAAGGCGCCCTGGCTCCGCCGGGCCTGCCCTCACCTGCCTGCAGCGGCCGGACCTCGCCTCCCTAAGGCGCGGCAGAAGGACGTGTGTAAGTTCAAACCTGTCAGCCCTCGGGGTGGTCACAGCGGTGCTGTTTCCAGGGGCGTTTTGCGGTCTGGTTATAAGCGGGATAACTGCAGTGGTGAGACGGAAGAAGCTGCAGATGCTGTGTATCAGGGCAGGGATCAGCTGAGTTGGGAAACACCGCCTGTAAATCCAGGATGTGCTTGTGCCTTTGTGGCAGGATAGACCCACCCTCATAAGACCTAAAATCCGATCAAGCTCTCATGCAAGATCAGCTCGTGGAGCCAGGGTGTTGTCTTGGTCTTAATTATGCTAAAACCATCCTGGTTCACCAGACTTTGGGAGCCCCTGGTGGTCTAGGGGGTTAAGGCGCTGCACTGTCACTGCAGAGACCCGGGTTCGATTCCCGGTCAGGGCCCCTCCCCGGGCAGATGGAGCTCGTTAGCCCTGTAAGGCAATCCATCTGCGTCCTGAGGACCTCGCTGCCACCGTCCAAGCTCGCTTGGCCCCAGCAGATGAACCTCAGGATTAAAGGGTGGGCTCAGTTCCGCGCACACTGTGTCTCACCTAAAAAATCCAATGCGCAGGCTGGAAGGTGGGAAGACCTTCCCCGGTTCTTCGTTCGCGAAGACTGGCCATTTGAATACACATTTTGCTTTTGGAAGTCTGATTTAACAGATAAGCTGATAGCTGGCCTGTAAATGTGTGACTAGCAGTCAGTCACTTTATACTATAAAAGTCCAATCCCCTCTCACGAAGTCAGGTTATTCTGACATAACCCTTCTTCGGATGTGTGTGTGGAGATTTCTCCCTTGGCTGGGAATGCCCTCCAAGGATACTCCTGGAGGTAGAGAGAAAGCGATCTTCCCAGGAGTGTTTGTATGGGTGAGTTATATCAGATCTCTACTTAATAATTATTCCTTTTTGCTAGTTAATATAATTGTTTCAATAATTGCTTTGTCACAGTGCACTATTCTACTTTATGCTATATTATACTCTACTAGTTGATTTATAGTGTTTATATTGTATAGTAAATAATTCTGATAAAGATTTTTCATCTGTTCATCTGTTCATTTATTGTAATAAATAATTAATTTATATAAATATATCTGTTTTACCATCATTAAAACCTGCGGGACAAAGTGGTTTAGTCAGACCTCTATAACTCCTTTAAATTTAAACCATTAACACAGTCTGAGGCTAAGACAGGATTCATCCTCTCCTAAGCCCCTTTTTGAGAAGGAGTTTAGTAAGTAAAGGAGTCCTTTCTGTACCTCGAGACTCATCAGCAAGGCTCTGCTTTTTAATAACTTTGTCTAAGCCTTCCACTCCCACCAGCGACAGCCTTACCCCATGTTCCAGTCCTGAGAAATGACAGCTGTTCCAAAATTAGTAAGGGACCTTTGATTAAAACCTTCCCCAGGTCGAAATTATTGCTGGGTACCAGGTTTGCATGGTGGGCATTTGATTTCTTAATCAACAATGAGAGAAATCCTTCACCTTTTTTTTCAAAACAATGTCGTAACATCAATCAGATCATTGTTTTCTAGAATGTCAGGGTGTGGGAATGTACAGGATTTGGTAACAAAAGTCACCATGAGTTTCTCTCAGAATCAGACAGAAATTCTTTGAACTTTAATAAGGAATATCTGCCTGTTTTAAATTGAAATAAAAGGACAAGAAACTTGAAAGTAGTTAGTATCTGCCAAAACCAAACATTTGTTTTTCATTTGAAGAAAAGAATGCTAGCAACACCAAGCAATTCTGTAAAGGAATAATTCTACACAGATCCTATATCAGCTGCTTTGATGAGGTTGTCTTTAGGATTAAATTTTATCTTTCTTTAAAAAGAGGTTATGTCATATCAGTAAAATATGTATACTTGATTTCAGTTTAAATGTAGGCCACATTGCAAGAGTTGGTCTGTTTTAACAGCAGAAAATGATGCAATGTTAAATTTGAAATTGCTAGCAAAACTGAAAAGTTCTTCAAGTCATTCTTGAAGACTTAGGCTCACTTTTTAAAAAGTATCTTGGTTTCTATCCTAAACAACATTAAAACTACTGAACTTACCTAATGCCAAATCAACTTTTTCATACCAAGAGGAAACTGAGAATGACTCTGAAAGAAAGGGAAAAATTAGCTCCTGGAATCAAACCTGACAGCTATTCTTTTCTACTTGTTGGAAAGGAAAATTGAAGATCTTCTTGGAATATTTTGCAAGGTATATACCTAAAAAAATTGGGTTCTATGTCCTGCAGAAAATTATGCTTGCTAAGTTGGGGCATAATAAAGCTCATGGTACAGGCAATATTTTCATTGTGTTTGAATATTAGATTTCTAAAACCATTTATATAATACTACACATTCTTAAATTTTAATTTGAACTTGTATCTCAAAGGACTACTATCAGCATACTGAAAGAGCAAACTAAACCACAATCTAACGTGTTCTTAGCCTCACACAAACCATGACAAACAAAACATTAGGTCAGCATAACCAATCCAGCTTTCTTTGGAATGGGAGATGAAGCAACTTCATCTATGTACGTAAGCTTTATGACTTTCCATCAATATATTCTCCTTAAAGTGTTTTGTGCAAGACAGCCAGTTGCAAAAATTATATCTGTTGCCAAAACAGCATTCAGAAACTCATTCACCCCTGAAATTTGATTATGTTTCTTTTTAAATTCTCTATAACTTGTGTAGCAAGTTGCCACTCCCAAGCGGAAAAGATTTCTATAAATGACTGTTACCATTACCCTTGGAAACTTGTATGCCTTTTATTTGGGATGGGATTCAAAAGTTGTGGATAGTCTACTCATCTGAGTGATGAGATGATGTCCTGTGAGACAGCATTTCTCAACTTGCTTTTACATCGCTGTCAGAAGTAATCAGAGACATGGTCAACACTGCCCAGCATCCTTCAGCACATCTGAGCAGCAGCCAAACCAGAACTGGCTTCAGTTCCTTTGTACTCAACTCACCTTCCCCAGGGAATTAACTAAGTATTTCAGTTTTCCCTCATCAGTCTTGGTTCTGCGGTGGTTCCCCATGCCCTGGCAGCACTGCCTTCCCATCCTGGATGCAGGCCAAGTCCTTCTGCAGGGTTCGTTTGGGGCCAGCTGGCAAGAGCACTGCTGTTCGTTGTCACAGAGATGTCTTGGAAGAAAATGGTGCGTTATGTAATCCTCCTGGTAATCTGCCATGCCAGTCCTTTTTAATCCCTGTCTTTCTGGGCAGTTTGTGTTATTTATCCTTCTTATTTCCACAGCCTGGTGGGTGCATTTCCTTTAATTTTATCCTATGTCCTCACTGCCCCACTGCCATCAGTTGCCTTCAGGGTGACACTATTTCTAATGCACATACAGCTGATCTTATGAATTCATGACTTCACAGACTGTTCATTTGCATATTTTTCTTTATCAAGGTAGGTATGTTTTCTTTTATCATCTCTTTTAAACAATGAGCTAGTTCTTGAGTCTCATGAGTGCTCCCTGGCATGGCAGGCATTGGCCCAGGGACAGATAGTGGCTTTGGGGCACGGATACCTCACTGGTGCTGGGCAGAGAAGAGGTTTTCACATAGTCTGGATCTTGCATTAGAGTTTTTCTATGGATTTCAAGTCTTTATATTCTTTGGTCATCAAATGGTAGTATTGTTGATACAGAAGATGCAGTCCAGAAACACTGGCTACTTCAGGAAATGTTTTTTATGTATGCTGCTTATATTTCATGAAGGTATTTGAACTGCACATCCAAATTTTGCTTGGTTCCCTGAAATGCCTCCTCTTTTTTTCTTCTTTCTTTTTTTATTTCTAAACCTTTGCCTAAGTTCTGCAAATGTTTGCATAATGTCTTTTTAGCTCCAAGTCTGAGACTAGGCCTGTTGTCATTCTTTGCTATGTGCAACAGTGTAAGCTCCAGGTTAAAGGCTGGAGATGCATTCCAAATCTTATTAGTAAAACTTTATTTCTCTCCATGTGTTATTGATTCTTTCTCAATCATCCACAGAGCTATATAAATACCAGCATGGGCAACCACAATTTAAAGGTAAAATCTCAGGGTTGAGTTTCCTTAAAATAAAGCATGTGTTTGAGTTTTATTTCAGTTGAGGTTTCAGAAGTTTTATTTTAGTTCCAAGCTGCTTATGAAAATTCTTCGTGGTGTAAGAAATTCGAGCTTTAATCCTTAGGATTACTTTTTAAGAATATTGGTTTTGTGGTATTTTTTGGTAGTGTTATTTTAAACACAGGTTCTAAATAGCTGTCTTATGTTCTCAGAGACCTCAGAACAGCCCCAGAAAAGTTTACCAAATACATTCTTACAGGTTACATTCTCAGCTGTTGCTCTGCCATCTTAGTAAAAACTTAACAAGATAAGTAAATTGGAACATGAAGTCAGTACATATCCAGAGTAATGCAATTTTGAAATAGGGAAACTGGCCAAGATACCAAGATATATCTAAATACATATCAGATATATAACTGATAGCTGAAGAAACTGAAAGATTTCCCCTAAAGGAGGCTGTGTGTGTACATACGTATATAAGTTCTGTTTAGAAGCCAAAAGACTGGACACTTCCTTGTCTCAAAAATATAATATATATATATCCTCAAAAAGATGTGGATCAAGAGGAAGAAGCTTACAGCTCAAATTACATGGGCTAAATCCAAGGAGCAGACTATGTAAAAGTGTAGCCATTACAGTATTTCAGTGTAGTATTTCTCATCTTTCTGGCTCGAACACCCAAGAGAGAGCTTCTTTTATTCTTGCCAAGTGTCAGCCGGCTGTCTTGACATCAGAAACCAGTGCTGTTCTCTGACATTATGTACCCTTCCTTGGAATGCTATCATGGCTTTGGGCACTCAGGGCTTCTGCTTTAACTCACGTGAAGATGTGATGGGAGCGATATAGTCACACCACTGACCTTCAGATGTTTTAACTTGAGTTTCCTGTGCAGCCAGTGGTGAGAAATGCTCAGAATGGATTCAGGCCTAAGTTAAACTCTTATTCTGGAAATGCACTTGTGTTGCATGGCACAGCTAAGCAATAGAAGTGTAATCCAAATTACCCTCTGGAGGAACCTTGCTTTCTGTACTAGCCTCTTAGTTTAGATATCAGAATTGATGTCTAGTTTTTGGTAACATGGTTATCCTACAGTACGATAAAAGGGCAAGGAATGAGCATTTAGAAAACAAATTTCTTAACCAGTGACTTATCTCTAAAGGACTTGAAAATAAGGGTTCTTTGACAATAGCAGATGGCCCAGGGCATTCCTGTTTTGTTGAGAGCTCATTTTTTACTTTTTTTTTTTTTTTTTTTAAAGCTTATATTTTACTATATTGCAAGCTGAGCATTGCCCAGCCTGTAGGAAAAACAGAAGGCAGAGAGTTTGATGCAAGCTAGACATCTGCCCTGAGTAGAATGAAATCATACTCCTGTAAAAAAGAGTCTGTATTTGTGCCATGCAATTGGACAACAGTGCTCTTTGCAGTCCTTGAAGAGAAAAAATCTTGTTCATCCATAGGGGACCAGCATACGAAAGATGATGAAAACTCATGAAGTCTCGGTTGCTTCTCAGAGGGTGGACTAATGAGCAGCTAATTTTTTTAAACACATTTTTATGCCATTATTTTCAGCCAAATCAGCAAGTAGATTTATGTGGCCAGACAGATACTGGAACAGCAGAAGAGCAGGCAGAAGTGCTGCTGGAACAGAAGGGCAGGGCTGCTTCTCTTGTGTTAGGCAGTCTTAGATTGGCTAAATTGTGTGTGAAGTTACATCTTTGGCAGTTCTTCAGCTAGGACTCAAATCTGCAGGCGGCTGCCTGGATTGCAGTCTTTGGGCATAACCAGACTTGCCGAGTTTGAGATTATTTCCAAATGCAGTTCAACATCTTGTTCTCAATTTGGTGCTGCCCTGCCTCATGTTGTCACAACATGCTGGAGCCAAGAATAAGCAGAGTTAGGAAACAGGTCAGCCCTCCTTACTGAATCTTGGGTCACAGCTGAAATCTGAAGAAACTGGAAGATTCCCACTGAAATGAAGAGTGTTACCAAGTTCTGGCTGATCTGACCCTTTGTAGTCAGAATAAGCCCAATTTTGCCAAAAGATGTAAACAGCAAAATTTCACTGTTACTAATACAGTTTTGTGCATCTGAATTTTCCTTCCTTGTTGCAACAAATTATAGGATCTGACTGCAGATTCAGTCAGGTGCTTTTGTATAGTGTTGCCAAGTACTGCCACACTTCATCATATATGTGGGTGCACTGAAAATACACACACATTTATAAAGCACCGTAAGATCTTTCTGAGTGAATGGCATTATAAAGAGAAGATAATTATTCCAACATTTAATCCAGATTTTCTATATAAAGCACATTTTGGCATTGTGAGAAGAACCAAAACATTCAACAATTTTGGGATAAGAGATGAGTCCTTTTTATTTTTAAGTATAATATTAGTATAAAGTTAGAAATGAGTCATTCTCTAACTAATTTCTGACTTGATGACTCATGCTCTTGGCAAACTAATTATCCAAGACAAGTGACTCAGAAATAGGTGCTACTGGCTGTTGCTGTTACAACTAAACATGAGGCTTGATTTTGGGTATAACAAATGTAGCTATAACCCTGCAAATTATGCCACAAGTGCTGCTTAAGGATGCATTACACATACACATTTCTTTAATCTGATGTTTTGTTATCAGTTCTAGGTGGATGGTGTAGCTTGTGGGTGTCTAAAGCAGACGTGGCCACCAAGAGTCTCAGCAGTGTACTTGGACCAGGAAAATCTAATGTGCTATGTATTGCTTTTTGTCCAAGAATGGTGGTTTATTAAAGCCTCATCACATGAGCATTCCTCTGAATAAACTTTTCACGTCAGAATTCTTAATAAATTGTTTGAATACTATTGAGAACATTGATATGGGAATGATGGGAAGATTCATGCCATATTTGCTTGGGATGGATATGATACCATGTTGTTGCCTCTAACCCACTCTTTCTGTTTTGTTTCTTTGTCTTTCCCTGCCCTCCTCACTCCACCTTGGCTGCAGTTTGTAAGGTGCTATCACAACGCAGGTCTGATCTGATGAAACCACAACTAACGCCAGTGCCTGCCTATAAAGGGAAGAGAACACAGACTATAAACTTGGGATTTCTGGCCTCTTATTAGGTAAGTCTGTTACTCATCTTCCCCTTTCACCCCACTCAGTT